TCTGGCAGCAATATCCTGCATCTCCTTTGAAGAGCTTCTCCACCCCATGCTTAAATTCAAACAGAACTTCAAACATGGGCTGACATTCTAGGTGTGGCACAGGGCTAACAGCTAAGACTCCCTGCACAAGAAGGAAGGCTGGCTGGAGGTGATCTAGTCCTCCAGACTTGCATTTCCTGCCCTTCCCAAGGCTTCACTGTTACATTCTTCTAGTTCTGTGATCTACCACAGCATAAATTCATAATTCTCCATTTTCTGCTTACGTTAGCTCAAGTCAAATTCTGCTGCTAATGACTAAAGATTAGTCCTGTGTGTGGTGAAGTAGAGCCAGTACCTTTCTCACTCGTGCTATCTTTTGTTTTTCTTCTCTGTGGCTTCTGCTGTTTAAGAAATTACAGCAGCTAATGTGAGAATTCTTTCACTAGGGGATCCAAGATGGCTTCATTAATTGGGAGGTAAAGATGTCTGGGGCTCCTCAACCAGCCACACAACGGGCAAAAGAGGAGAATCTTTCCTAGTTTTTCATCATCATTATTGTCGTTGTCATCATATCATAGGTTCATCTGGCAGCCAATGACTGCTTCAAGGAATCCCTTAATTATCTAATGTGGGTGTTCCCCCATCTTCCCTAAATTTTCTTATGAGCTGAGTTCACTATTTACTATTTCTGTATTCTCTTTAGCACCTATGGTGTTGGGTAAATGAAAGTATTCAATAAATACTTGATGAACTGAATTAAAAACACAGTATTAGCACATTAATAGGAGCAACTTATCAAGCCCTACTGATCTAATTAAAAGATCTGGCCTTCTGAAGTAGCACAATTGTACCCACATGGAACACTTAATGAGAAAAAGAAAAATTATCCAACTGCACAGTTAACAGTTTTCCTCTTAGCAAGAGTTTTACAAATATTTTATGGATAACAAGCTCAGGAGAAAAATGCTTAAGGTGTGTGTACATGTAGAACATTACACATTTTAGGGGTCTAAACCCATAACTAAAGTAAAGACGATACATAGTAGCAAGGTCAATTAATGCCAAATCAACTTTTGTTAAAGATCTATACAATACCCTTTGCATAATAAAATATGGCAGTCATATTTAACACATTTTTTTCAGTGTCTGTTAATCACAAATTCAGTACTAGAGGTGCTTATGGTTGGAATGTTCTAGCTCTGTAATATTGCAATAGTATCTAGAAATACAGTGAGGATCATGCCCTTGAACATAGAGGCCCTGAAGGCTAGCAGTCAGATAAACACATACCTGTGGCAATGTGGTAAGTACTAACATTGAAACAAGTGCAAGCAGTCTAGAACCACGAAAAAGAAACGGATCAACCTGCTGAAAAAATCAGGTAAATATATGGAAAAAGTCTGAAAGCAACATATGGTAGACCACAACTATAATCCCAGCACTCGGAGGCAGACACAGTAGATCTCAAAATCTTGAGACCAGCCTGGTCCACATAGAGAGTTTCAGGACATACTGTCTCAAACCATAACAACAAGCATTTCAGGAAGTAACTCAATACTAGTTAAAAGATGATGACACTGATAAGTGATAGCAGGAATCAAGCCCCAAAACAAGGTTGTAATAAATTCAAGAGTATTCTAAGGCTGGGCGTGGTGGTGCATGCCTTTAATCCCAGCACCCAGGAGGTGGAGGCAGGTAGGGTCTAGCCTGGTCTACAAAGCAAGTCCAGGAAAGCTAGAATTGTTGCACAGAGAAACCCTATTTTGAATAAACAAACAAACAAACAAACAAAAAAAGTATTTAACTGCAAAACAAAACACTCCTTGTCACTGAACTGTAAAAGAAATAAGCATGTGTGTTAAATTAATCCACGCTATCATTACAAAGCGAGTCTATTAAGCGGCATGTAGTATTAAAGTTCAAAGAGAGCTTATCATAAAACAAGGTGTGGGAGCCACCTTTCCTAGATTAGCTACTACGCCTCATCAAAGGCACTTCTCTTTAAAGCAAATGAAGACTATCAGACAAAAACACAACTGGACACAACTCGGAGGTCTACAGACTGTGGGAGGCCAGCTCCAGCAGGTACATCTGAATCACAGCTCTTGCGTATGTGGCTCAGGGACATGATAGAAGAGGGACAGGAAAGACGGTAAGAGCCAGAATACCAGGGAAACTGGACATGCTAATGTGGAAGAAGAAAACTTTACCTTGTTCCCATCCCTAAAAAAAACTACATACAGGTGACTACTGACTGTTGGAAGGAGAATTGGCCTCACCCAGGGTGAACCCCCTTACTGGGTGTCCAATTCAGAGTGCTCAGACTTCGAAACCATATAAACACTTTAATCCCAGCACTGGGGAGGCAGAGGCAGATGGATCTCTGAGGTCCAGGACAGCCTGATCTACATATTGAGTTCTAGGACAACACAGAGAAACCCTGTCTCAAAAAAACAAAACAAAACAAAACAAAACAAGATGCTGGAGAGATGGCACAGTGGTTAAGAGCACTGGCTGTTCATCCAGAGGACCCAGGTTTCAATTCCCAGCCGACATGGCAGCTCACAATTGTCTGTAACTTCTATTTTCAGAGGATCTGACAACCTCACACAGACATACATGCAGTCCAAAGACCAACATACATAAAATAATAAATTAATTTAAAAAAGAGTTCTCAAATACAAATGTTAAAAAACAAAACAAAAGTTGCTGTTGGCTTGGTAAGAATGGCTCAGTAATACTTGCTGCCAGGCTTGACAACTTGAGTACAATCCCACAGCAGAAGAGAGAAGCATCTCTCAAGCTGTCCTCTGATCCCCATACATACTGTGGCAAATGCAAGCAACTGCCCCACCCCTCACTAATGTAACAAAAAATCTAAAACTTCTCTTGGTGCCAAGTATGAGGGCACACACCTGAAATACTAGCATTTTGGAGATGAAAGCTTGAGGATTGTTACAAATTCAAGGTCAGCCTAGGAGCAAAGAGGCCACATAACAAAACACACACACACACAAACACACACATGCTCAAGGTGTATGTGCAGGTACATGCCAAAGATTACATATTTAAGGGGTCTGTCACTACAATTACTTCGACCCTATCCTATATAGTGTTGGTGGGGAGGGGAATTACAAGGAGTGGAGATCCATATCCTGAGAAACACCCATGTTATCAAGAGATCTTAATTGCATTATCTGTAGGAGTGAGGGGTCCAAAGGTTCACATGGAGGGCTGTGGGGCAAAAGTTGAATGCACAACTGAAGGCTTGCCAAGGAAAACCCTGGAATACAAGCAGAACAGTCTGGACATTGTACCGAGCCTAAGGTAATTTTCAGTCCTTGCTGCTGAGCAGAACTGCCTGGAATGCTCTAAGAGTATACCCACAGCCTAGCTCCCTCCAGATCAAAGGCAGTGTCTGAGAAATGAAACAGGGTGATTGTAACAAACAGTCCAGCTTAGGAACCACGGAGCTTGACCACAGGAAGCAACGATGTGTGATAACATTAAGACAAGTGTTCTTAGGAGGCAGCTGAGCTTGCTACCTGTGGAAGCTGCTCTTCCAGCCTAGGTTAAACAGTGGTGTTTTGCTGTTGTTGTTGTTTTAGTGTTTCGTGAACAGCTCACTGTAAAATCTTTGATTGCTGAAAACTTCTGTGATGTTCCAGTGACAGCTAAGCCGGAAAGTAACTTTTCTAAGTGGCCTTCAGTACACTGCAAGGAACTGCTTTTGTATTAGGAACTGTTCTAACTTTCATCAATGCACAGACCTCACAAAGCTACTTTTAAATATGGGGAGAATCTAACATTAGTCTATTTAGATGTCATGCTGTGCCCAATCTTTTAACATTGTGCCACAACCTCATCATTCACAAGGCTCATCCTTGAGAGCCACACAATGAGATTAAGTGGGGGGGGGGGGGGGAATCCTCAAGGTACTGAATAAGATTTCAATTTTGGGTTGGACCACATTCATGGTTATTTTGGGTCACATGTGGCTGGTGGGCCTTTGGTATGACATCTTGACACATGATGTTTCATTCACAACTCTTGGCTTCGGAAAGTTGAATGATTACAATGAATACTTTCATTTTGCAACAAATACTTTGGGTACTTCCCAAACAAATGAAAACACAGTATCTATTCAGCAAAAAGTCCTGGGGGAAAAGAAAAGGTCACCAAGGTGACTGTTGGGGCCCCAAAAAAGCAAGTTTGGCTGGCCATGCAGAAAAACTGCTGCAGGTCCACTTACTAATCAGAAAGTTTCCTTAAGAAATCTGTCCACCGTTACCTGTAAAGTTGGCCAGGACTGTCCTGTATGTTATTTCACTCTCCTTAGTGGTAAAATGTTATTCAAACATTAGTTGGATTTGGCAGTTGGTTTTATGTGATCTCTTATCTACAGACGAGGTCAATAAAAACAAAAAAGAGCCCCCCAGAGAAAAGAGAACTCAATCGTCAAAGTGCCCAACCTCAGCAAGAGCCCAGAAACCTCATGCTTGTTCAGGAAATACGAAATCGGCCGAGATGGGCATACGCTTGCACCAGTGGTATTCAGAAGCGAAAAGATGGGCTTCTAAAAAGAAAACGCCAGCTTAACTCTGCGACACAGAGGTGAAAGTTACAAAAGCAAGCAGCACGAGTTTGACGTGTGGGTCGGAAGGAAAGTCAGAAGACGAGGAAAGATATGGAAAGGATGGCAAAAGGTGAAGGAGGCGGGCAAAAGCCACCCACCAGGGACCTGGCTGCCCAGCTCTTTATGCACCCAGGACAGCATGGGGCCTCTGTCCGCCGGCGCGCACCGGGAGCAGGGCGAACCCCCGCAGGCCTGGCACCGAGGGGGCGAGCACGCCCCGGGCCGGGTGGGCACTCCGGGGTTCCCAGAAACGAGGGGCACTCAGACTAGCCCTCACCTCCGGCGGCTAGGAGGGGGTGGGTGGAGCTGAGCCCGGGGCCGCCCCCCGGAGCCGCCCCCGCGGCCGCGGCCCCGGCTGTCAGCGTCCCCTCCCGCGGCCACTCACCCGCCGGCGACGCGCTCCCGGCCGCGGTGGCGGCGACCCCCGCCTGGGTCATGATCCCAGGAGCGGAAGGCAGAGGTGTCTGGCCGTCCAGGCGAGCCTCTGGGTCCGCAGCCGCCGCCTGCCTGCTCCTGCGGGGCTGGGGGAGCGCGGGCCCGGGCCCTCCTCTCCCCCCGCCCCGGCCGCCTCTCCTCGCGGCCACCGCCGCCGCAGCGAGCCCGAGCCCTCGAGGCCGGAGACCCGGCGGCAGCACGGCCTCAACTTTCCCAGCCCCCCCTCCCCCCGCCCCTCCCGCCCCTCCCGCGGCCGCCGCTCCGCACGCGCGCACCCTAGCCTGTCTGCGCGGCGCGCCCGCCTCCGGCCTGCCAGCCGACCAATCCACTGCTGGGGATGCTGCCGTCCTAGCCAATCAGGAGACGAGATGCCCCTGCGCTAGGCTGGAAGGCGGGAGGAGGTGGGGAAAAAAAGCTAGGAGGGAACAGGCCTCAGGCGGCCCAATGAACACGGCCGGGGGGCGGAGGTGTGCAAGTTGGGTTGAAAGAACAGGAAATATTCTTAAAGGTAGAGTGACGGGCAGAAAGGAAAGCCAGTAGGTAGATGAGAAAGAGGTGGGCCTGGTTCCTTAAAGGGGACGCCTTGAGAAGCTAGAAACGATGTTGTAAGAAACTTCCTTGCATCCGTTCAGTACTGTGCTTCTGGCATCTTCCAGTGCAGGCTTAGAAGTGGAAAAAGTGAGGAGGAAGGCGCCAGAAGCTCTCGGAGATAGACAGGTCCCCTGAACCTGGAGGATTAGTAGGCGGGAAACGGAGGTGGAGAATCCAGTCCTAGCCGACTTCCCTTTCAGTGCAAGATCTTTGCAGAACCAAGGCTGCTGGATTTCGTATATTGTGGGTTCCTGACGTCCTTTATTTGCAAGAAAGCACTAAGGCCATTTTCAGAAATGCCCCGGATCCCCCAGCTGAGGGAGACAGTGTGTGGTTTGGGGGAATGAGAGTTGGAACCAGACACCTGTATCTAGGACTGGAGACAGAGTCCTCAGGTTTGGAGCATCCTAAGATGTGTTTGGAGCTCTCGAACCGTGGTCCCAACTACTTTTTTCTAGTTTTATTTCATTTCACAAGCCTGTCTCCCTGAGACAGGTGTCTGTTCCTCCACCTAGTGGTGGTGAAAGATTTATGAGCTTTTCACAGCCAGATAGAGTCAGTTGTGCTAGAGCACAGGGCATAATGGGAACTATTTGAGCAGACATTGCGTTGAGAAAAAGGTAAACATTAACTCCGTTTTATGTTTACTTTGCATTTTGAAAGTCGGTGATGAAATATGCCTTAAATGTTACTTCAAAACTGGTCCTAAAAAGCAGTTTGACTTTTGTTTTTCACTTTCTTGTCATTTGGTCCCGGCCAGTAAGTTTTAGTTAGCCTTTGAATAGATTTGTCACTCTCAAGTCCATGCAGCAAGGACCTTATAATTCAGATCTGTAATAACACGTTCATGAAACTCTCATGTTAATATGGCCAGCTCCGCGAAATCATTTCCATTGTAGTAAAAATGTAAGGTTTTATGGGCAAAAATATTAAACCCAACTTAACTTCCGGAACTGTAATACATTGATTGTAAGTTAAAAAGCAAACATTTTGGGTTTGTGTTGTTTGAGACAGGATTACACTGTAAAGACTAGGCTGGCTTTGAACTCGCAGAGATTCAGCTGCCTCTTCATCCCGAGTATGAGTGCTGAATTAAAAAGGTGCACACCGCCTTTGACCCCAACTTACTAAGGGAGGCAAAGGCAGGCGGCTCTCTGAGAGTTCCAGGCCAGGCCAGTCTAGTCTACAAAGCAAATTCGAGAGACCCAAGGCTATACAGAGAAACCTTGTCTCAAAAAACCAAAAAGTTCACACCAAATCCAGATGCAAAAACAAAATTTTGATGATTCAGAAAACAGAATTTAAGAGGTTTTTAGGTACCTCATAGTTAGACATGATTTGAAAAGAAAAGAAAAAAGCCGGGGGCAGGAGGAAGTCCATGCTTTTAACCCAGCAGAGACGGGAATCTGCATTAGTTTGAGGTCAGCCTGGTCTACAGAGTGAGTTCCATGACAGCCAGGGCTACACAAGGAACCCGATCTTGAAAAACACCCTAGCTGGTTCAGGACATCATTAAACTAGTGACCTTCCTACCTCTGCCTCCCTGGTGCTGGAAATACAGATATCTGTGTGTGTGTATATATAAAATACATATATATATATATATGTATACTATATATACATAGCTCTACTCCATTGCCAGTTTTTTGTTGTTCTTTTTGTTTTTTTTGTATTAAGTTACGTGTTGCAGTGACCTGACAGCTTAAGGAAGAGTTTTTTGTTTTGGTTTTAGTCTTAAAAATAGAAGGGAGTGGCAGTGGTATAGTATATACCTTCAATAGTATATACATATATATATATGTGTGTGTGTAATATATATATATATATATATATATATATATATATATATATATATATATATATATTATACACACACGTGTGTGTGTGTTCTTCTTCAGACATTATAGGAAGCACCTCTGACCAAGGTGTAAAAGTTCTTTATATGTTGTACTAGGGCTTTCAGCCATTGTGACTTGGGTTTTGCTTTTTATAAGAATGGCTTACATTTACTAACCTGTTTCATCCACATAACCACCCTATAATATAGCTATGTCATCACACTTAAGAAGTTGGGGCCTGAGAAAGCAACTCAGCATCACTCAGCTAAGTGGCATGCTAAGGCAGCAAAGGCCATAATAGAAATGCCAACTCTACAGGCATTTCCCATGTCTTCATAGTCCATCTTTTTTTCAGATTTATTATAAACCTGTCAAATTATGCCATTGCTGCATGTGTTCAGTTTCTTAATGAGGTGTTTAAAAGCACAGCCAGGCCCCACATGGTGGTGGCACACGCCTTTAATCTCAGCACTTGGGAAGCAGTCAGGTGGATCTCTGTGAGTTGAAGGCCAGCTTGTTCTACATAGTCAGTTCCAGGCTAGAAAATACTATCACTTATGTCCATCTTACAGATTATTTCTAGATCATGTTCCTGGTGCTACATCTAAAAACAATTTTTTAATAGAGTTAATACGTGTAACACCCCTGGCTGTCCCGGACTTGCTTTGTAGACCAGGCTAGCCTCAAACTCATAGAGATCCGCCTGAGTGCTGGGATTACAGGCATATACCACTGCGCCTGGCTTCTAGATATTCTCACTGTTTTATTTTCCTATAAGTCCAAGGGACATTTTAACGATGTTTAAGTTTTGGAGACAGGCCCTTTCTATGGAGTCCTTGGCAATCCTGGAGCTCTGCCACACCCACTACAACACCTAGCTTACATTCCTTCCTTATGACTTGTTCTCACTGTTGTCCAGGTTAGTGTTGCTCAGCTATAAGTAGCTAGGACTGCAGAGGACTGAGCCACCATGCTTTTAAATTATTATTTTTATATTATGAACATACTTGATAAATTTTCCCTACATAATTGTTGAAAGTAATATTTCTTCATGTGCCTTGGCAAAGTAATCATGCAAATACAGATATATTTCTATACTTAATTCTGTAGCTAGCACTGGCTGGTTTAGGTTGAAATTGACATTTTATCTTTATTCAGCTTTGTAAGATGTGAACTCAAGTATTAAAGTTCTCCAAATACCATCAGCATCTTCTGTTTCATCCTATTACCTGTAATTAAAAATTACTTATTTCCAAATGCTATGCTTTGTCTTTGGACTATGACAGTATACAATAGTATATAAGTGCTGAAAGCAGCTTTCTTCACCTTCTTTCCAATCTTACAAATAAAAAAGACATAATCTCAGGGCTGAAGAGAAGGCTCAGCTGCTAAGAGCACTGGCTGCTCTTCGAGATGACCTGGGTTCAATTCCCAGAACCCACACAGCAGCTCACAACTGTAACTCCAGTTCCAGGGGGTCCAACACTCTCACAAAGACATACATGTAGGGAAAACACAATGCACTAAAAGTAAATAAATACAAATAAGTAAATCTTAAAAAAAAAAAAAAAAACATAGGATCTCACCATCTCACCAATAAGTATGGTAGCTGCAGGCTTTTATAGCTTTCAAGTTGTCTCTTTAATTCCCGTACCCTTCAATTTTCCGACATAATTATGTTAACTTTCATTGTCAATGTCACACTCTGGATGTACCTGTAAAGAAGTTCCCTAAAACTTTTGACAGAAGAGGGGAAGACTCAGCCTGAATGTGTCACTCTCTATGGGGCAGGGTCCCCAATGGGTGGAGGCTGGAAGAGGGAGAGATGAACACCAGCGTTTGTCCCTCTCCTTCCTGATTACAGAGGCATTTGTAATGAGATGCCTCACACTCCCTCTGCTATGCCTTCCCCATCATGATAGACTGTGGACTGTATCCCTTCATTGGGTGGGTGGTGGTGGGGTGTTTGTTTTTCGAGTCAGGGTTTCTGGGTAGCCTTGGCTGTCCTGGAGCTCTGTAGACCAGGCTGGTCTCCAGCCTCCCAAGCTCTGGGATTAAAGGCATGCACCACCACTGCCAGCTTCCTTCAATTTTTAAGACCAAAACCAAAACAAACAAACAAACAAAACTTCCTTAAGCTGTCAGGTCACTGCAACACATAACTTAATACAAAAAAAAAATAACAACAACAAAAAAAACTGGCAATGGAGTAGAGCTATTGTGATAAATACAACCACATATCTAAGCTTTTCGTGTTGGAGGAACGTAATTTGGAGCTGAGGACTAGAACTCTAGAATGCAGTAAATCTGTTTACTTGGCCTTCAGATGGTTATATTTAGAGAAATGCACAGTGGAGGCCAAACTCAATTTCAGAAAAGGAACTAGGACTCTTCCAAGATTACATTAGAGACTATTCATGATATATTCTAGTAGAGAACTTATCATATTCTCATCAGTCAGAGAACATGAAGCACAATTTGAAGCAACAGGCTATTTGTTTGATGAAGAAAATTTTTAGATGGAACAGAATTCAGGTGATGGTATAAGTACTGCTCACTACACTTACTGAAATGTACAGAGGGAGCAAAAGATGAAAATTTACAAGCAAGTTCAAAGTGAAAAATAGGATAAAGTCAAAGCATCTATAATTATTAAGAGATTATTGCCATTAAGTGAAACCTCAGACCCTTCACTAGGGCAACAGAAATGCTATATGTAAAAACTCACCAACCAAGGGCTCCATTAAAAAAAAAAAGAAAAGAAACTCATTTGAAAGGGAAAACCCAAGAATATCTTTAGAGCTCCCTGCTCAAAACTAAGTGTCTAGAGTTTTCTCAAGGTCAATACAACCAAGAGGCAAGGAGAAAATCTTTGGTTTTTAGAGACAGGGTTTCTGTGTAACCTTGGCTGTATCAAACTCAGACTGCCTGCCTTTCAGAGTGCTGGGATAACAAGCATAAACCATTGCCCATAATCTGTATCTTTTTAAGATTTTATTTATATGAATACTCTATCTGCATTTACATCCGCACACCAGAAGAGGATATTAAAGGGTATAGATGGTTGTGAGCCACCACATGGTTGCTAGGAACTGAACTCAGGACCTCTGGAAGAACAGACAGTGCTCTTAACTGCTGCTGAGCCTTAAACTGTCAGCAATGGGGCTAGTTTAGGAGGCAAGAAAGGTTTGTCAGAGGTTTATGGCAGGGAGTTCGATAAGGCCCTTAAGGCTTAGCAATGTGTGGCAGGGTCAGATTTGAAAACACCAAGGTCCTGAAAGGCCATTTGCATGAACTGGAAAGGTAAAGGCCCCAGAGATGTTGGAGATGCCAAGAAACATGAAATACTTGGGAATGAAAGCTGAAAAGTTTAAAGAGAGGCTAGGTGTGCTTCAGGTAGACCATTTTCTTTTATGCATTAGGGTAGAATACGATGAATTACAGAACTTTCAGATCCTGGAACAAATTCTACATATCCTTTTTGTATATTGTTCAGATTAATTTGCTAATGTTTTAAGGATATTTTTTTATTCATGAGATAACAATCTATAATTTTCTTGACCTTATTTTTACCAGCATAATGCTCTCCTCTTTTTAAAACATTCTTTTGTGTGTTTGGGTAGGTGTAGAGGTCAGACGATGTTATGTGGCAAATCAGTTCTCTAGTTGCAGCACATGGACTCCAGGGATTGAATGTAGGTTGTGAAGCTTGGTAGCAAGCACCATTACCCACTGAATCTTCTTGTGGCCTGATTTTATTACACAAAATTTACAAATAAGCCACAACTAAAATGACCATTTTTTCGTTTGTACCATTGGTCATATGTTTTTGGTCCATTTTATTTTCTTAATATGGCTTTACTTCTATACTGATTTCTATTTTTCATTTACCCTCCTTCAGGTTTAACATCTCCTTACCCGTTCCTCAACACTTATATACTTGATTCAAGTTTTTCTGTATACACACTCACCAGTACATGATACTTTCCAACTTTCTATAGCTGTATCCCAGTTTTTCTGTTCTATATTTCAAATTTCATGTGATTAAGAATTGAGTTATTTACACGTGCTTAATTTCCAGGCATGCACAAATTTCAAAAATATGTTATCTGGGGTCATGTAAAAAATTCTCAGACAAAAACAAAACCAAAAAAAAGGGGGTGGGGCAGAGGCCCACTACTAACTACTTAGGAAGGTAGTTAGGCAGATCACTGTGAATTCGAGGTCAGCCAGGTCTACAAAGCGAGTCCCCTGCCACATCTCTAATAGAGGCTGGAGATACCGTTCAGCATTTAAAAGCATTTGCACCTGTTGGTTCCTAGCACTCACATCAGTTTACAGCCACCTGTAACGTTAAGGTGGTGCTGAAAACGTGGAAGCAGTATTAAATTTTAAGCCAGCCTGCTGATGCTGTTTACAGATCAGTCTTTGCTTAACAGTGCAAGGCAGTCAGTTCAGGTACAGCTAGGTATCCCCAGGCGAGGGCCACACCCTCTTTTCACAATTTCAGTCACTGCCAGATCTCTTCTGGGTATGCCCCATGATCAAATGTCATGATCTAAGTTGGTGTGCTAACCTGCAATTATAAAACCATCAAGAACTATTAATTCAGTAATCAAGTTCTAAATTTCACCCACATTGTAAACCATGTGCACCTTTGATACCTCACAGACACGACAAATAGTTGGCTACTAGATAGATAGTAGTTACGGAAGTTACACTTATAAGACTAATCAGTGTTTTTTTAAATGTAAGAGTAAATATGACACATCACTTGAGTAAGTAATGTTTAATGGAAGTCTGAGAGATTTGCTCATTTGTGAAAAACAAAAAACAAGAAGTCATTCCTGGGATCAACTGTCATCCACTAGTTGAAGAAACTGTGATTAGTTAACAAAATACAGGAGCGCTGCAGAGATAGCTTAGCAGGTAAGAGCACTTACCAGTCGTGTAGGAAACCTGGATTTGAATCCCAGCATCCATATGGCAACTCACAACCATCTGTAACTCCAGTTTCAGAGGCTCTGACACTCTCTTCTAACTTCATACATGCATGCACACACACACACAAAATTAAAAACAAACATGAACACAAGACCTAGGGATGGTGCTTTGATTAGAATTTCTCTTTAAAATAGGGTCTATGTAACCCAATTTGGTCTTAAATTCAAGTTTATTGCCCCAGTCTCGATTCCTGATGCAAATGATAAAATGTTTAAGTCATTCCTAATTAGTCTCTCTAAAAATCAAAATATGCCAGTGTGATGCAGCCTGCTACTTTTAAATTGTAGCTTGATTAAAGATCGGAATGGAATTAAGCTATACCAGTTTAGAGAAATAAATTAGATTTATGTAATCATAACCATAACAGCTTCTGATGCATAAACTGACTTTTCAACTCCCCAGCCTTTTAAATCTCATAAATGCTTGTTTATATTTGAGGCAATGTTAAAAGTCAGTGTAAAGAATTTCTCTCCATACTGCTTTTTTTTTTTTTTTCTCCCTAGACAGGGTTTTTCTGTGTAGCCTTGGCTGTCCTGGACTTGCTTTGTAGACCACACTGGCCTCAAACTCCGAGATCCGCCTACCCCTGCTTCCCAAGTACTGGGATTAAAGGTCCACATTTTTGTATGTTAAAGCAAACTCAAGTTTGATAAACTTTTGTTTGTTCACTTGTAATCAGCCAGCCAGAAGTAGTAGTGTATGTACAACTGTGATATCAACACTTAGGTGGAAGTGGATCAAATATCCAAGTCCAGCCTCAGCTGTATAGCAAGTTCAAGGTGAAACCTTGTCTCTCAACTAGCTGTCTCCCCAAAGGGTCCTTCACTTAGACATCTATTTTCAACAGAATATTACAAGCCTGGAGAGATGGCTCAGCAGTTAAGTGTACTCACTACTATTCCAGAGGATTTGCGTTTGGTTCCCAACAGCTGCCCAGAAACCCAGCTCCAGACCCTCTGGAAGGCTCAACATTGTCTCTCCTCTCTGACTGACACATAAGTAATCTCAGTACTCTGGAGGCAGAAGCAGGTGGATCTCTGTGAATTAAACACCAGCCTGGCCAGGGCTACAAACCAAGACCTGTTTTTATTTTTATCTTACCTCTAGAGACCATAGCCCTCAACTTACTATCATTACCGTATTCACAAAACTTAAAGATGACGTGCTTAGTAAACTCATAGAACCTATTTAGGTGAGACACAAGGGGAACCTGATAGTTTTCTTTAGTATGAGAAATTGCTAATGACAAGCAAAATGCCATCACTGATCAAATCTTTTTACAAAATCACATCTGATAATGCCAAGGTTTCTCAAAGAGGAGCTAAATGGATAATCTCCAGAAGTTTGGTTGACAATCCATTACTTAGGTTATAGCTATTTAACATGTTTTAATCCATACTTAATTCCTATGTCTTAAGTTGTTGAGGGCAGTAAATAAATGACTTTCTAATCTAATGTTCAGAAAATTGCAAAATATTCTATCCAATACTACCTCTTCCTAGATTTAAGCTTTCATCACAATATAACAAAAAGGTCCTTTCTTAGACCAACACTAGGCTTAAAAAAGTGTTTCCATATATCTCAGATGAGTAACTTTGCCCTGGGTGGCCTGAGGGGAAAAGGTAACTCTATCTACCATTAACTACTAATGTCTGTCTTTTTTTCACTTGTTGCTTGGAGTTAATTTCTCATGACAAACACAGAGAGTATTTGTCATTTGAAACAGATTAAAAACATTGACTCTAAAAAAAGTGTTTCATACTAGTTTTCTGCTCCAAATGATTTTTAAATTAGACTTATGATTATTAGGTTAGGCAGCCCAATGGATATTCTCACATAATGAGAAACTAAGACCTAATAGCCATGTAAGTGAAATGAAGTAGCTGTTGTCAAACCTTCAAGAAAATGCACCCCTGGCAGACACTGGATGTTATAAAATCTTATGTCAGTCAGAACTAACTGAAAGTTAAACATTATTTGGGAAATTATGGGATACAACAAATCTGTTGTTTTAAACTGCTAAATTTTTGGAGTGATATGGTAAGTAAGACAAACAAAAAACATTGTTTCTTGTGCAATTAGGAAAATGCTAATTCAGACCAACTTGACTAGATACCAAAGTACATGCTTGACATTAAAAAAAATCTGGACTCACCTACTAAAATCCTCACAACACAAAGGGGGTAAGAGATCAGAATATGCATATTTACAGTCCATATTCACTAGAACAAAACCTAAAATGCTATTTTTAATGATTACATTCAAAATGTCAGTAACATATTTCTGTGGATCCTATATTTTTCTTTCACTGAGAATTTATGTTGGTCAGTGTTTTTATCAAATCCTAAGAGGTCTGAATTGGCATGCCTTGATTATTATGGTTTAAAGAAATATAAAACGGGCGGGAAAGGGAGCACACACCTGCCATCCCAGCATGCAGAAAGAAGAGGCAGGCAGATCTCTGAAAGTTTGAAGTCTGCCTGGTCTACAAAATGAGCCCAGGACAGCCAAGACTACACAGAGAAACCCTGTCTCAAAAACCAAAAACCGATATAAAACAGTATGGGTCAAAGAACACAACAGTTGATGACTTAATAGTTAGTTACAGATTATAAAACTCAGAACAATAATGAGTTTCATGACATTTACAGATTACTACCAGAACATCACATAAGTTTATTTCAGATGTAACAGCAACGTTAAAATTGACAAGTTTAATTCTTAACTGCACCAAGTAAACGTAGCCACTTAAGCATCTTTAAAGTTATTCCCTCCAAAAAGTGAGGGAGTTTTTTTCTTTTCCACCACCACACACCACACTTCCCAATAGTTCTCTTTTTGGAGGACTTTCAAATTAATGAGTGACCTGCTTTGGAGACACTTAGGAACTCCTTTCCCCAGATGAAAATTAATCTTGACAAATTATATATTGCATAGATTTCTCTACAGATTCTTTACTTTAGAACTTAGGTTCAAACAGCATACAGAATAATTTTAACCTATTTACCCCACATTAAAAATGATCTGTCCTGACAAATGGAGATAGCTCGTTATCTTCCAATTAATAGAATTACTATCTTACCTCAAAAATTATTTTTATCATATATTAAAAAACAAAGGGAAAAAAGCACCCCCCCCCCCCAAAAAATACCCAAAAATAAAACTAAAAAAAAAAAAAACCAAATTCAACATCGGGCATTCCTTTAGTATTTCCCGACTCACAGGCATTTGGACCAGTCCCAGTTTCTACCTCTCCCCGACAACTTCCCCTTTTATAAGTGGATGAAACTATTTAATGCAACTTTGATACAGGACATTTGACCCTTAACATACATTGAAGTTTTAGGTAAAATCACTGACTAGTGTGGAAAAAGAAACTATAATAATAGGGAGCCTACACACTCAATTCAAACTTTATTATTTGTTCCTCCTTTTTAAATAACATGTACTTAATTGTTGTGAGGCAGCTATTCGGTTTTCAATAACCACATTTAGCGATACATTCATAGGACTACTCAGATAGTCCAAGTGAAATGGTTATAGAAATAGAGGCAGTGTCATCTCAGAAAACTCTTTTATATATCAAAATCTATTTTGCTATCTGGAAGTTTACAAAATTGCTGACTTCTTCAAACTAATTATGCTCTTTCTCATTTATACCCTCTTATTAAGAGCAAGCTGAAGCTTTATCCATGAAAGTAAAGGTGCTTAACACTAAACTTTTCTTCTGAGCTTAGATTTGGACTGTCTAGGAAACTGATACCCAAGAAACAAGCATATTATTTCTACAATTTCACTACAATATACATTTATCCATCCGTCCATCCACCACACCCCTTGTTTATATTCTTCTTGGCACTCAAGACTACTGAAGTCCACTTTATGTACTTTCACATTCTCAAATAAAAACTTCGGGGAGTTATAAAGTGTGCATAAACATCTTGTGAGATAATTTTATCATTTAACCTATGGAAATGACTTTTATACCACAATTTTACTTAGAGGATGTGTTAAACTTCCTTTTAACATTAAATGAAAGAAAACATACATTCTGTGCTGTTTTAAAAGTCTCATGAGAACATTTCTTGAGCCACTGTTGACTAATGACAACCTAAGAAATTCCATGGATTTTAGATGGGACAATGCGAGGAAAATGAGTATCTCACATGTCTCTACGTTACAGTTCTCAGCCCATCAGAGCCACTCCTAGTGTGCCGGAAAATCATCTGGCCTTAACCAAACCTGTCAACTGGAGGTCACAGTGATATTTCTATTAACACTTTACACTTCTACTGTTCCAAGAATAGAAGGAATTTATCTACTGATTCCTCTTATTCCAAATCTTTAAACTCAACATTGTAGGCACAGAGTGTAAGCAAATCTGGGATGTTCTCCAACAGATAAGCAATAGCATAACAATGTTATTTTCAAAAATACTGTCTAGAAATTCTTTCATATATTATCAAATGCTCAATGGCCACACTTTTAACAATCTGTATTAGTTGACATAAATACACTTAATGTGTTACATGTCCATCTAGGCTTTTTATGTAATTCTGTATGTCCAAAAGGAAACACTTGCTTCAGATTTATTTAGGGATATTGACTTATAAGGGCATAACTCCATTTATACGGTTACACTATTACTGGACTTACTAAAAAACAGGAGAAAAAAAAATCATTTATAACCATCTTCTTTAGGTCAGTTAGAAGCCGTATCTCTAGCTGGGATATTAAAACAGTTAATTTCACCAGCCCACACTCTACCAGTTAATGCCTCTACTAACAAAATAAACAGCAGGAAAGAAGAAGGAAAAAAAAAAGTCGTTTAACTGAAATACTTTGACCAAAGTATGATACTACCTATACACACTGCCCTGCCAATCAGCAAACTGAGAGGAAAAATTGCTTTAAAAACCTAAATAAGTTTGGTATTTTCTCACAAGGATAACAATGGTCCAACTCCTGAGAGCACTCAAAGGACTAAAGGTAGAGTGAAGGCAATGTCAGGGATTAGCATCCCACAGACAGTCTTTAAAACTCAAAGTACCACAAATACACTAAGCTTGCCTATGAATTAGAGAACAAGATATTGCTGATGCTTCTTTTTGTCTTTCGAAATAAACAATATTGTAGGCTCTGCCTTTCAATGTGAAAGCAGGATGTTTTAAAATAAACAGCTAAAAATTTTAAATCATCTGACACCCAATTTTGGGAGATATCTCAACTGTGAAACTATACATACCTATCTTCTCCTTCCTTCAATCCAAACACCTCACAAAAATAAAGAGAACTAAAACAATCCAAACATGATCATTTTTAAGAGTCCTTGAAAGTATTAAAAACTTTAAGAGGAAAGAAAGGACGAATAACAAGGGAGGAAAGCTGAAGAAAAGGGGGTGGGGAGGATCAATGGGTCTTTCTTTTATTTGGCGACAAGCAAGTGCAATAAAGTTCATTTGTAATTTGTTCAGTTGTCTGTCTTTTGTGTCTCTGCATTCTGACCAGATGGGACTTTGAGGTTTTTCTGAAGCACATGAGCATCTGCAGGCTCTATCCTCTTATAGTAGTTCTTCTTTGTCTCAATTATTTCAAAGCCAAACTTCCTGTAGAAGTCAATCGCTGACTCATTGCTGATCTGGACATGCCTGAGACACAGGGTATACACACACACACACATATATAAGACAGTTTCATCAACTTTCATGTCTTAACCACAGATATTTTCAAATTGGTCGGGGTGGACTATCACGAACATCTTGCATATTTTCTTTACAATGAGCAATATTTAACAAAGGGTAGTCAATTTTTATCAGTAGACCTAATGACAATTTTATGCTTTTAACAAACCTAATCCCCTCATTTGAAAGGCAGATGGCTGAGAATCAGGATGAACAGTATTTATTCTTACTTATAGTTAAAAAAGGCTAAGCTATCATGAGGCTCAGTGGTTAGGAGCACATATTGCTGCTCTTCCAGAGGACCAGAGTTCTGTTCCTGGCACTACCATGGCTCACAATTGGCTGTAACTTTAGCTTCAAAGATATCTGATGCCTATGCCTCCTTGGATACCTGTACTCATGTGTATGTCCCTCCCCACAAATACACACTTAAAACAACACAAAACTACACATCATAGTCTCAAGTGTCTAAATATATCTTCTTGAGCTTCCTTCACTACTCACCAAAAAGCCAATGTGAAACGAATCTGTTATTGTGATCTTTGTGTTGGTTCTACGTTTTATGGGTCTATTTGTCTGTCTGTTCTGGAACCCACTATACGTAGACCAACCTGGCCTCAAATTCATGGGAATCTACCTGCCTCTGACTCCTGAATGTGGAGTGCTAAGATTAAAAACATGAGCCACTACACCCAGGTGTCTTGGCTCTTAAAACTGTGGTCTTTTCAACTACATTCTCAATTAGGTTATTTTTGACTTTGATTATTAAACTCTATTACAAACAAGCATGTTGTTTATAGCCTTGAATAAAATACATTAACTATTAATGGCATGAATGGTCTCAAAAGTCCAAATACCTGGTCTGTGATCTTGGTTTCACCTCAGGTTCCTTATATATAATTAACAAAGTACATAGTTCACCCACATCCTAATTTTTCCACATACATTCATCAATCCTGAATTTCAAATAGTCATCCTAAATGTAACACATACACCGTTCTTCATCATTCCCTAAACAATACAGCACAATAAAAACGTTTGTAGCATTTTATTTGTTCTAGGCATGATAAGCAAATTAGGTCAGTTTAAAGAATGTGGGAGGATAGGCATCTGTAAATAGCATGCCCTTTTATATGAATTTATATTTTAAATGGATGTACTTTACTCTTTTCTAAATTTTATTTTATAGGTACAGGTATTTGTCTGATAAATGCTTGTAATTATGTGCCAGATCCCCTCAAACTGGAGTTACAAATGATTTTGAGACACCATGTAGGTGCTGGTAATCGAAGTGGGGTCTTCTGGAAGAACAGCCAATGCTCTTACCAGATGAACTCTCTCCAGTCTCCCTTTTATGTCCCTCTTGATAGCAGGTAAAAAAGCATATCTTCTAGGTATTTTTAATAAAATATACAACTAATGAGTAGGTATCAAAGTTTCTGATAGGGATTTATATTGACAATTTAGCAGGCATTTAAATGAACAGTGGGTACTTACAGATAGATGTTGTCAAAAGTGCCATCTTTCTCACAGATGTTTAGGACATGATTTAGCATTTTAGTTCCTATTAACAAGACAAACAATAAATAAGTAACCTTAGAAATCAACCTTGATATATGACATCTACTTGTCATCTTTACTAACACCTGACACAGAATTAGATAGAAGACAACTAGACACACACTGTTTCACCAAAAATTGTCCTCACTGTGCAAGTTACACGTTTAAAATTACTAGAAAAGGACCCTTTTCAATACAAGCAATGCCAGACATATAAACAAAATGCGAACAAATTTATGGGGATTCCAAATGAATCCGAAGAAACAATTTTCATTTTACTTTTTACAATTCAGTAACCCCTTCCCAGTTTCCTCTTTCTTTTCCTTTGTGCCTTTTCAAGACAGGGTTTCTCTGTTTGGCCCTGGCTGTCTTGGAACTTAACCTATAGTAGAACTCAGAGATCCTGCCTCTGCCTCCTGAGTGCAGAGATCAAAGGAATGCACAAACACCTGCATGGCTTCCCACTTTTCTTAAAACAACAGAAGAAAATACCACATAATCTTACCTATTCCTAGTCTTCGGTAAGGTGCAAGGCATCCTAGTGTCATGATGTAAAGTCTCTTTTGATTCTGTGAATGATCCACCCTGCAGCACACTGCACCTACAGCTATATCATTGAAATACGCTGCCATGGAAAACACAAAGATGTAAATTTCAACATTAAATAAAATTTCGTTTTATTTAATGAGCTCCTTTCAAAAACAATTAAAAACTTGTTATAAGCTTTAGATTTTCACTAGCTACTCTTACGAGAATATCAATGGCCTCAACACTTACATTGTCTGAGGAAAGCTGAGCTTTCTCCAAAACAGCTACTAAATTAGTGATAAACACATAGGTTCACAGTAAGTAACAGAAAACACTGAGAAGCCAGGAATATGGCTAAGGAGGTAAAGATGCTTGCCACCAAGCCTGGCAACCTAAGTTCCACTGCTGGGATTTAGCAATGGTTCAAGGTTAGAAGCAATTCCCCTTAAGCTGTTCTCTGATGACCATGTGGTCATTTTTTTTTTTTGAGGGATATTTAGCATTTGATTTTAAATGTTAAAAAGAAAAGAATACTGATTCGTCTCAAAATCTATAACATTCAAACTTCCTTTGCTTATAAAATGAGCCTGTACTAGTTGCTCTAATATTGAGGAATACAATTTAAAAATACAAATAAAAAAAAAATCATACCAAGTTTTGCTAGCTCGCCAACCTCCAGCACATCTTTGTAGAATTTATCATTATAGCTGACTGGAAAGATGACCTGGTTCAATCTCTTCAACTGTTTAATATTGTGTGGCGTCACATCTCCCAGCTCGATCCGGCTACTGGAACAAACCAAAATGTACTCAATAAAAGATAATTAGCTTCATTTGTTTAGATGATATTAAAAGGGTACCAGTCATTTTTGCACACGACTGACAAAATTCAGCCCTTTCGTTTTGATTTTATATTCCTAAAACACTACCGCATAAGCAAATTTTGCCAAACATTCAATCAAAATTCTACTCATAGCTCTTAATTAACTGTAAACATTTATGGACAAATACAGCACACAATAACCAAAAAGGCCAGAAATATCCTGTAATAAATGCTAAAATTGTCCTTATAACTTATACTGTAAGCTCTATCAAAATAGATACATCTATTATTGAGCAAATAGACCAACAATACTTAATATTATTAACAAAGGGATAGCAAATGGTATGCTTTTATGTTGCAGATGAGAATGTATATTGGCACATTGTTTCTTGAGGATAATCCAGCACTATGTAGTGAAAAGCCCGCCCATCTCCTTTGTCTATGTAAGTAGAAAGTAAACATCATCCTGAGTAAGTATCCCAGAAGCAGAAAGATAGACACAGTATATACTCAATTATAAGTGGATACTAGACCTATAAGATAGGATAAACATACTAAAACCTTACACCTAAAGAAGCTAAACAAGGAGGACCCAGGATAAGATGAACAATCCTCACTCAGAAAGACAAATGGGATGGACATTGGAAGTAGGAGAAAACAAGAAACAGGACAGGAGGCTACCATGGAGGGCCTAGAAAGACTCTACCTAGCAGTTTATCAAAGCAGATGCTGAGACTATAACCAAACCTTGGGCAGAGTGCAGGGAATCATATTAAAGAAGGGGGAGTTACAAAGACCTGGAGAGGACAGGAGCTCTACAAAGACCAAATATATCTGGGCACAGGGGTCTTAAATGAGACTGATTCTCCAACCAAGGACCATGTATGCATATAACCTAGAACCCCTGCTCGGACGTAGCCCATGGCAGCTCAGTATCCAAGTGGGTTTCCCTAGTAAGGGGAACAGGGACTGTCTCTGACATGAACTCAGTGGCTGGCTCTTTGATCCCCACCCCCTCGAGGGAGGAACAGTCTTGGTAGGCCACAGAAGAGGACACTGCAGCCAGTCTTGATGAGACTTGATAAGCTAGGGTCAGATAGAAGAGAAGGAGGACCTCCCCTATCAGTGGACTTAGAGAAGGGCAGGGAGGAGAAGAGGGAGGGATGGTGGAATTGAGAGCGAATGAGGGAGGGGCTACAGCTGGGATACAAAGTAAATAAACTGTAATTATTATAAGAAATAAAAATTTAATTAAAAAAATAATAATTTGGCCAGGCGTGGTGAAGCACAGCCTTAATCCTAGTGCAGAGACAGGTGGATCCCTGTGAGGTCAAGGCCAGCTTGGTATACATAGTGAGTCCAAGACAGCAGGGCTCGTTACATACAGAAACCCTGTCTTGAATAACCAAGCTAAAACAAAACAAAAACAGAAAAAAAATTGCATTTATTTGTTGAGAATAGCAATTTAGTAATAATATCACAACTACACAAGTAATATAAGAATTCATATTCCGTGACACCTCACCCTTTCAAAATGAGAATTTTTGAAAACGGAACAAGAATCTGGGAATTTTGAAAAATATTAAGTTTAAAAATTACCTATGAATAATGCAATGGTAGCATTTTTTTAATTTTTTTATTTATTTAACTTTATGTGCATCAGTGTGAATGCAATAGGCATTACAGACAGTTGTGAGCTGCCATGTGGGTGCTGGGACTTGAACCCAGGTCCTATGAAAGGACAGACAGTGCTCCTAACCACTGAGCCATCTCTCCAGCCCCCAATGGTAGCATTTTTAAGAGACTACATATATTCAAAGCAAATCATTCTTTGGGTGTAAAGAATTAAGTGAGCTTAAGATTCATTGGTAATGAAAGTGTTTTGCCTTGAAAATTTGACTATAATGCAACTTTTAATAGCTCAAATTTTCGTATATGCCACAAACAAACCTGTTAAGGAACACTGCTGGGAATCCACAAAATACTTCATTCCTATTACTACCAACACTATCAAGAGACATTCGAAGACACTTTCTGCTGGGATCAAGCTCAGGGCTTCCTTAGGCTGGGTAAGCGCTCTTTCAGGAGCTACAACCACAGCCCTATTGCTGTCTTTTTCTGCTTAAGACTAGTTTTTATTTATGTTTCTCAGTATTTAGCCTGCATGTGTGTATGTATAATATATTGTACCTGGTGCTCATGCAGGCCAGAAAGGGTGTCAAATCACTGGAACTGGAATTACAAATTGCTGTCAGCTGGGAACCAAAAGGTGCCCTTAACTACTGAGACACCTCCTAAGGACCCTCATTTGCCTTCTTAGAAACTGTTTACAGTGGATAAGGGGGAGGGGGGAAAGAATTAAGTACTAAGACAAAATAAAAATTAAGAGAACCAAGAGGTCAGAAAAATAGTTTCTACTTAGTGGTAGTTGGAGATCACAGAGCATTATAACAAACAGTGAAATACAATGTATGCATGAATGGATGTATCATATTTGGAGCATGAAAACTGTTGAGAAAAATCTAAGCAAGGAATAATGAGCATAAAGCATTTACTGATATAGGGATGGTTAAATAAAGCACATTTGATCAGTATTTGTCAAAAATATGGCTTTTTAGTAATGCAGATGGAGCACTCATAACTATATGAAGTAAAATAAACCTTAAAATATGCCTTCACAGATCATTTTATGAAGAAAAGAATGAACACTAGCTTTATGTGCAGCAATAAGAACTGAAAATTTTAACAGGACCAAGGAAATGGCATTTGTAAAACTGATTTACACAGACATGAGGAAATATGATGCAGCGCTTTATTTTAGGTTAGAATCCTTTAATCTATTTTATCCTGCAATGTTAAATTTGGACATTTTGCTCACTAATAAGCATTTCTTCTTTTAGTTATTGTTTCATTTTCTATTATGTCAGTTACTATATATTCTCCATGTATTAAAAAAATATAACTATGCCGGAAGTGCCACCAGATATGTGGCACATGCCTTTAATTCCAGCACTCGGGAGGCAGAAGCAGGTGGGTTTCTGGGAGTTCAAGGCTAGCATGGTCTACAAAGTGAGTCTAGGATAGTCGGGGCTACACACAGAGAAATCCTGTCTTGGAAAACCAAACCAAACCAAAAAATATCTGAGTCCATGAATTAACTGAGCAGCCACACTGTCAGCCTTACATTTTCCCCACCACTAGCCACTTAAATGAATATGGTCTGTTCCTAAGTGTGTAATAGTTATAATGAACCCCCTGTGTAAGAAGCAGTCCTGTCTTCTCTAAATAGGCCACAAAAGGTCAATGTTTTCCCTTCTTTAAAGTTGAAGTTACTTGAAGCTTTGTTTTTGTTTTTCAGCTAGACACTGAACCTAGGGCTTCACTGTACCAGGTATCACTGTAGTAGCACTGAATTGCTAGCTCTTAAAAGCCATTACTAAAATCTGCCCAGTCCAATTCCAGGCTGTCTATCCTCCACATTGATGAAAGATCCATTTCTTTCTCCGCATAACCTTTCTAAAATATTAATGTGTCACAAAATTCACCTTTTAAAAATATAGAATTTGGGCTAGAGAGATGGCTCAGCAGTTTGCAGCACCTGTTGCTCTTGTAGAAGATCTGGAGTTTGATTCCCAGAACCCAAATGGTGGCTCACATCAACCGTAATAGCAGTTCCAGGGAATCAGATGCCCTCTTCTGAACTCTGCAGGCACAGGCACACATGTGCTCAGACAAATGCAGGCAAAACACATACATAAGTTATTTTTAAATTTAATAACAAAAATAATAAAATACAATGATATTTTTAGCTATTTGCAAAGACAAACAACTACCATATCCAAACTTGTTTAAACAATCTTTGTTCCTATCACCAGCTGTCAACAAATCTATTTTCTCTTCCTACAAGGTATTTGCCGTTTCTGAACAAATGACCATGAATTCAAGTGCTTAAAGAAAAAATGTGTTCACGTAAAGGTCAGGTGGGAGGAAATCGCTCACAACCTCCAGACTCTAGGACAGAATCCTTCCTTATCTCAGACTGACAGTACCAGGCCGTTTCTTGTCTTGGGACAATCTAGCTTTATAATCTTTCCCTCCTCATCACAGATCTCCTGATGCATCTGTTTTCTGAGAATCTCCCAAATCACTATTTCTAAATAAGGCTACATTTAAATTACTATACCTACCAAAATCTTGATTTTAGTTCAGTGAGAAGCATTTTTTGACAGCTGAACCTAAGAGCTATAATTTCTTTACTTTCAAGCCATGAAGTCTTAAGTTACTGTTAGACTGTTAATATAAATATTAACACTAGGTTGTCTCCCAAGGTGGCTATATCATTTATACTCCAATCAATAAAATATTAAAGTTTTCTATATGCTTGAAACAATTTTTTATTCATTTAGGATTGATCCTAAATCAATATTAGAGTAAGATGCTGATTCATTTGCACTGTTTTTACTGTTTAAACCCTAGTAAAAGGAAGCAATTCTGTTGAAATCAGGTTATGCCCATTCTAAGTGCCTCCACAGTGTGTGAAACAGTACTTTTCCAGGCTGTCTTGCCTTGAGGAGCTCCACTGAGAAAAAAAGGGAAACCTAGACCTTGAAACAAAACAGAAACTACAAGGAACGTATGAATTTCAAAGTAAAAAAGCAATAATCCTATAAAGATGTTTGAGAAAGCAATTTTCAGGGTCAGTGGGGGAGGAGGTTAAGATGGACCTTGAAACAATGCTGCAGGACTAAGAATGGGTTTCAAACCTACCTAACATAGTCACCCTGTCAGCACAAAATTCTTTGAGTTCTACCTTTGAAACTTCTTTGACTCTAAAATGTGGGCTGTAAACAGTGTATCTGCTTATTTACTTCAAATAAGACTTTGGTAATTCAACCATGTAGTCAATTCAACCATGTAGTCTACCTTAGCTTACCAGCTAAATCACATTAAGTGATCAGAGAATCTG